ATATTCTATGCAGATTGTGACAATCCTATTTAATGAATCCCAATTGTATGTTCTCGAAAATGGAACAGAGGTTTTGAAGCACTCTGAATACAAGGAACCATTGTTATTTTATTGGTTCGCCGTGAGCGTTAGAAAAGGCTGGCTGGTTTGGTGCGCCAATTGCGCGCCCCCGGACATAAGCGATGAGCCCAGAGATGGTCGTTGGGGTCCATGGTCTGATTGGCAGTGCACTGTCACTTGCGGAGGAGGGACTGGAGTAAGATAACAACTTCGATTATTGTTTGATGATATGTATACTTTTATTTATATATAACTGGCAAACAGTTGATATAATAATATACCGCTGTGCTGTATATCACTTCACTCATAGGTCCGTAGGATAACTAATAAAAACCAATTTTTTTGGTAATTTTGTTTTATTCAATATAGTTTCCTTCGAGAACGCTATACCTATTATAGTGATCTTCGAACTTTTCGAAACCATCTTTGTAGTTCCATTTGTACTTACCACAAAATTCAGCCATCATCTCATCATACATTTCTTTAGAGCGAGCATCCTTTTGAGATCTGAAAACAGAATATGGTCGCTGGGGAACAGATCTAGAAAATATAGTGAGTGGGAAAGCGATTAGGTGCCTAATTCAAGTTATTTTGGCCACTGTTTTCACGTAATTGTGTCTTGGTGCATTGTCCTGATGAAGCAGCACGGTTTTCTATTTCAAATAGGGCCGTGTTCCTGATTTTGATTTTCAAATGTTTCATTAACGTTATACAATAGTCACTGTTGATGGTCTGGCCTTTTTCAAGATAGTTGATGAAGATCATTTCTTCGCGATAACCTTGCCAGCTGATTGGTTGCATTTTTTCTCGTCATCGTCTCTAGTTCATTCGGCTGTCTATTCGACTCCGTAGTTTAGCGTTGAAGCCAAGTCATATCCATGGTGACATATTAATGCAAAAACTCAGTTTTATTTCGATTAAACAGCTCCAAATACTCTTACGAATCATCAACCCGTTATGCTTTTGGTCAAATGTGAGTTCGCGCAGCACCCATTTAGCACAGAGGTTTTTCCTATTCAAATATTCGTAAACGATATGTCCATCACGTTTTATTGATATCTTTAGGGTGTCAACTATCTCAGGCAATTTTACTTTTCGGTGTTCCAAAACGTTTCGGTAGACTTTTTTGATATCTTCTGGTGTAACCATTTCAATTGGCCTTTCAGAACGTTCAGCATCGTCATTGACTGTAATGCCACGATTAAAATCAGCAAACCACTTCTTCACCATCAACTCGATTTGGCAGCAATGGTATTTTTACCCATTAAAAACCAATGATAAATCAATACACGAAATTTCTTTGAATTCAGGGTTTCGAAAACCTCAAAGGTAGCGTCACTTGAACTTCTGTAACTTGTAAACTGATGGTCCGATTGTCATGAAATTTGGACATATATCTTCTTAAAGTTGCTGCTTCCTACAAATCATTTATGTGTTATCCTGCGGACATATTGAGTGAAAATGTAAGGCTTTTATTTGCCCTTCACAATTATAAATTTGCATTGAGAGATATATTGTAATATTTTAACACTAGGTTTACCGAGCTCTTTAATTTGACGCAATTCTAACTTTGAAATAAAATTCTGAATAATTGATATTATATATAGGATTTCTATTTGATAAACTTTCTTTACGAAATTTATCAAATTGACCGAGTCTTTCAATTAGAAATATAATATTAAGGAAAGACTGAGATGCAGAAGACCACTTATATCATGTTATTTTGTACACAATGAAATCGTTACAAAAAAGATCATCTCGTCATTCGAAAATCGAATTTCAGTAAAATTTCAAGACTGTCGTTTTGAATACTGAACAATCTATCATCATGCGTTCCTTAGTTGGTTTGTCACATTATTATAAGAAGTTTTCTTCATGTTGTTGTGAATTGCATTACATCATATTAATGTTAGTCTTATTATCGTTTTAGCTTTGTATTTTACAGTAATTAATTTAATTAAGGTAATTTGTTTACTGCAATGTTGTCTAATGCTGTATCCGAAATATATGATATGATGTTTTAGATCAGGGTGCGTTCATTAATCACGTGAGGTTTATAGGGGGCTGGGAGGTTTCACAAAAAATCACGAAATATCACGTGGGGGAGGGAGGGTTATAGTAAGATTTGGATAGTTTTCAACAAATCCAAACATTTCCAAAAAAAATTTTACAAATAAAAATACACGTGGTTTGGTGGGGGAGGGAAGGTAATTTTGAATATCACCACGTATCACCAAAGGGGAGGGCGGTCCAAAAATCCTTGAAAAATCGATCACGTGATTAATGGACGTCCCCTCATTTAACGCCAACATTAAGTTTTCAAAAATGTTACCAAAACGTGCAATAAAATTAGAAGCTGCAATGTGAATGCAAAGACTTATATTAAACTGTTCAACTCAACCTGTGCATAAATTATTAGATTTTTTTAAACAAAATATGCATTGCGTCAATTTGACGGGTATATATATATAGATAGGTATATATACATTATTGTTTAAAATTAACAGTAAATGTTTTCAATAAACATTACAGAGACGATCAAGAAAATGTAACAATCCTCCCCCGAATATATTCGGTAAACTTTGTGAAGGACCTCACGTATCTACAGGTTCATGTAATGAATTTGAATGCGGCGACATTTCGTTAAATACTGAAGAAAATATAAAGCATTATTTACAAACTAATCACTACAATATGCATGTGACTGAAGGCGATAGTATAGAACTGACTTCTCCATTAAAACTGTTGCCCTTAATACAGAAAGAGGCACCTAATTCCAAATATCAATGGACGTTGAATGGTCTTATTCTACTCCCAGAATTGGGTAACATTCAAAATGCAGAAAATAATAGTTTGTTTATTAACAGAGCCACAGTTAACGAAAGCGGAATATATATGCTGGTATTATACCGAATCACCAAACAAAAAACTGTCTTAAAAGTGGTTGCTGTCACAGTTCAGGCCAAAACTCCTTACATTGATACAAGGGTCTCTTATGATTTCAAGTTGAAATGTCACGGAGTTGTACTAGGTATTTAACTGTTACAATATTGTGCAAAGTGGATGATTATTTACAGTAATTACTATTTAATATTACATATTTCTCATCGAACAGTAATATTATTTTCACTTTGCTGGTGATATATACTAAATTCTAATATTCTTTTGTACCTATACGTTGGATATAGGATTATTTCAAAATATTTTTGCAAATTTAAAATGTATCTATAAACTTCACTGTTCATGTATATCAAATCATTTTTTTTTATCATTGTTCATCTTTTTGTACACATTACTCTATAAAAACGCATATCGAAGCTCACGATAAGATAGTGAGCGTTCATCATTCTTCTAAACTAGAATAGAACTAGTGGTGTAGGGTATCGTGCTTTAAGGCAAATTGCTGGAACTTTCCGTACCAAAAATTAAATTTCTAAAAAAAGATTAAATATGTTTTAAACTTTGAAAAAATAGACTTTTGAGAAATTTAAAATTTTTGAAAAAAAATTAGTTCTTTGGAAAAAAAATTTTTTTTTAGTTTGAAATACTTTAGTTTGAACTTTTTTTCAAAGCGATCCCACTACTTTAGTCTTATAGAGACGAAATATCGAAGCGCGTAAGCGCCGCATCTCCGTCTAATGGACAAACGATGTTACAAAACCCATAGAAATGTAAACAAAATTGATACACATTAAAATATCTGATAATTTGATGTGCATATGTCTAATGATCATTTTTGACCTCAAAATAACATTTTTTTTTTACTTTTTTTACTAGATCTCTGAAACCGCTAGACCTGCCTTCCCAAAAATTTAATCAGTGTTCATCTTGCCACCTTGTCAGTATAAGTAAAATGTTTTTTGAATTATTAAAATCGGACGCTCTGTTCTCTTAAAAACTGAGTTACCATTCTGGCACTTTTTGCCCCGTATCTTCGAAACGGCTAGACCTGCCTTTGTCAAAAACTAATCAGCACGCCTCCTTATCAACAGCAATCGAATGTTTTTTGAATAATTGAAATCGGTTGAACCGTGTTCCCGAAATCGTCGACGAAAATTTGTATCCACACACACACACAGATATACACACACATACACACACTTGGAAGTTAATAATAGTTTGAAAATCTTGGTTCGTTGAAAATTTTGTTAATAAGTTCTGATTGATTGAATCGATAGGGAACAAATTATTATGCCTATAATTTTCTTTTGTTTTGAGTAAAAATATCTGATTTAAATGAATTGCGCACCAACGACAATAATAAACTATAAAATGAATTACTCAGGGTGTACAGTTGTATGTTCAAGATTTTTATTGGTTTATATTATACCTTTTTATGTTTCATTTAATTAAGTTCAATAAATTATAATTTATTATTATCAAATTTCAGGCTATGTCTATAATGATTTATCTATGAAATGGACAACAAATGGATCTTTATTCAAAGACTATGGAATTGTACCTTTAGAGGCTGTTGACACTATATATATAAAAAAAGCAAGTTACGAACACGACGGTGAATGGTCTTGTGAAATAGCTCAAGAAGATTTAAATTTTACTTGGATTACTAGTTTATATTGGGTCAACGTGAAAAAGAAACCGAATTTTCTTACCTACGTTATGGAAGATGAATTAACTAAATATATTTTTGGATGGATGGGTTACGAAGAGGTTGTCTTGACGGTTATAATATTTTTCATTGTAATAGTTGTAGTTTTAGTTATTGTGGGCACACGGTTTTACATGCATCTAAAGAAACCAATAACACAAGTTTATGAGCCTATATCCACAAGTGAAACTGAATAAATATGAGTGATCAAATTCTATAAAATTGTTTTATTTTTAGATTATGTGAAGAAAATTTTTATTTAACTTGTTTTGTTATTTTTAATGAAACTGACGTGTAATTTTTAACAAAAGTAATTTGATTTCTTTCAAAGGTTCAGCGAAGAATACTTGTGGCGGAAGAATGTGTTTCTACCGTGCTATGTGGAAAGCAGCACCAGGCAAAAAAATGGAAGTCGCAATGAAAGTTCTTAAATCTGAACATACTCAAGATAATCTTAAGGTGAATTTTTTATCATATTTTTTCTATGCTTATTTGGGTAATTCTATATTTGAAATTTTGGTTAAAAAAAACACAATTTATAGATAATGATGCATCATTAAACCGATTAGCCATACAAGTATATTTATTTTAAAGAAAATTATGCCCACTCACTGACACTTATTGTCACCAATTCTTTGACTAATTAACTTTAACGGGTGTAAATAAAGTGATTTTTGGCAAGTTCCCATAATTCATAATTACTAAGGTTACCATATTTTTTAAGTCAAAACAGGGACGGCAATTTTTAGTTTTGCTAACTCAGGACAGGAAAACCTTTTTTAAAGCACTGACTATTAAAAATACCTTTAATTCCTTTTATTTATATAAAATCTTAGAATTTTGGATCTATATATTATTCCACTTTTGATAATATAAAATTGTATAAAATTTCATTCAATTTTCATGTTAATTAACTTGAAGAACATTACTACTTGTGTCAGGTAGCCAAAAGGTTCGTTTTTATAATCTCTGCTATTTTTCGTAATGTTGAAGTTGAAATTATTATTGTGAGAAACTATTTTTTTAACCTTTAGAATTTTGTTCTCATTCATAACGCATTGATTCATTCTCATTTTAACGTATTAAAAAGCATACTCTTTGTTTTAAGACAATCTGAAATTGATATACATTATGTTATAATTTTAACATATTATATATCATTTTCGGATATTTGATGAATAGTTCAAATTTTATCATCAAATAATTGCGAAAATTAAACTCAAAACCTATATTTTTCGAAAAACCCGAGGCAATCCCGGACAGAAGTTCTAAATCCGGGACAAATATTGCTTTTAGAAAAACCCAAACCGGGACGTATGGTCTCCTTTTAATTACTCGAGTAATAAGATCTTATATCTATGTAATAATAGATGTTTTTTTTTAATTTCTATTTCAAATAGTTAAACAAAATATCTTTAGTATCTGCATCTTTCTAATAGAGAATTTAACCAATTTAACTTGAGTAACTATTAGTAATTTGAGTACATCAATAAAATAACTGTAGAGCGCGCATTGGTGTTATTTTAATTTTTTTGCTTCTATTTTAATAACGGCGTTTCTTAATACATATATAATAATAACTAGAAGCAAATTGAATCAGTTCGCGTTACATGATATTCTATTAAAATGCGAATCGAAAAATTATATTTCCTCATAAGAAATATTATATTTAGACTCTCTATTTAAAATTGTTTCATTTGCAATAGTTATATTTTTAGGATCATTGCTATTTCAAATGATATTTCCTTGAAATTTTACTCATCATGTTGATCATGATTTAATCAATTTAATGTTTGTTTATTTGTATTGTTTTCATTAAACTTACAATGATAACACAGCTTATAAAGTTAACTTTGATTTCTCAAGAACCAGCAAAGTCAAACAAAGGATTTCGCAGAAAGTCCTTAGTAGAGGCTCCGATTTTGTTCATTTTTTCCAGTTTTGTTTTTTTTTAATATTATTCGAAATCAGAAACATTTTAGAACAAGGAAATATTTTTTTAATGTATGTTATTTATATAAGGAAACTAGGTGACCCGACAGACGTTGTCCTATACTTATGTTTACAATTCAAAAGTTTCAAATTTTTTTAATAACCTATACTGATATTTACCAATTAGTTAAAAATTATTATGTTTATGTTATTATGTATATAACTCCATCCATATGGAGCTTTGATGTACAACAGCTTTTATTCCCCCGGGAAATAGCAAAGGAGTCTAAATTATTTTCACTTTTGAACTTGAAAGTAAGATAAACCTAATTTTAAAATTTCATACAAATTGGAGCACAGTAAAAAAATTCAGACAAATTCGAAAAAAAAGTGCTGTTTTTAGGGTTTTCCCGGCAATTATTCCATTTTCTCTGTGAGTTTTCTGCCGTAAGAACTATCATTGGACTTCAACAAACATTTTAAAAAAAGAATTGGCCAAATTGGCCCAGGCGTTGTTGAGTTATGCGCTTACCAAACATTTTGCTTCATTTATATATTCATTTTTATATTATGGATAAGTTTTTGAGTGTTTTTCTTTGGAAAAAGATATTTGTTTATTAATTTGAATATTGAGAATAGTTATTATAAGAACAGTTGTTATTTATAATTTATCATATAATTTTACGGTGTGTCAAAAAATATGTATTTGCTATGTTTTTTTTCTTTTAAATCGATATGTTTCGTAAGTGCCATTTTCGACCAAAATTAAAATTAATCGTATTCCGTCTAGAATTAACTTTATATAATGAGTTTGATGTATTTTTGCCGTTTGATTTCTTAATAATACTATTTTTTTCTAAAAAGATCACAATTTTACGAAATATTTTCGAAATTTTACAAAAAACACAGCCTTCATCTTAATCGAAAACTATTCGAGGTACGTATAAAAGTATAATGAAAAAAAAATTGACCTAAATACCTAATTTTTATTTTAAAACAAATTCCTTTCTCAAACATATATGATTTTGAATAATATTAAAAAAGACAAAACGTCTTTATTTACTTGGCTAAACGTGCAAATTATATATTCATAATTATTCTTCTCATTTATGTTTATTCTTATTAGGAGTTTATTGAACTTTGTGGAAAATGGGCATTTGTCAAGAATTCTGCATTGGTGCGCCTTTACGGCGTAACATTATCCAGCCCAGTATCAATGGTTATGGAATATCTTAGTTCTGGTCCTTTGGATCAATATTTGCGAAAAAATGGATCAAGGATACAAGAGGTTGATATGGTTGAAGCTGGTTCTCAATTAGCCACAGCGCTATGGAATTTGGTATAAAGATATTTCAAATTCAAACAAATTCTTACATTAATGAATATATTTTTATTTATTCCGAATAATTTTTAGCATGAAAATGGTATAGTACACGGAAAGATCAGGTGCAGTAAACTTATGGTAGCAAGTTACGACAGCAAGAGCTTTGTTGTAAGGCTATCAGAACCAGGATTAAACATTACTTACACAGATGCAGAGTAAGTTTTATAGTTATTCTATTTTTTATAATAGATAGAAAAGTTTACATGGTTGTTGTTACAGCATTCATTGGATACCACCAGAGTTTCATAATAATTTTGAGTTTGTTAAAAAAAGTACTGTTGCTGATGTTTGGGCATTTGCAACTACACTTTGGGAAATCTTTTCATTGGGATCTGAAATTAGTGATGTAAGTTTTGGAGAGTGTAAACAAGTAAGTGACATCTGTAATAATTTTGAATGTAAATGTTTTTAAAAACTATTCAATCTAAATTGTTTATAGTTTTATTTATCTGGACGACGATTGCATAAACCGGATGCTTGTCCTGATGATGTATATCTGCTCATGAAGAACTGTTGGAAAATCGATCCTCATAGTAGAATACAATCGCAAGAAATTATGCGAGATATGAATCAAATTTTATATGGAGGTAGTTTTGAATGGATTTTTATATTTTTCCATAGGATTCTTATAAAACATGCTTTGTACTTGCAGTTTTTAACTCTAGAAGAACACACTCTTATAGCACTGTATACCCCAAAGGTTTTCGTGATGTAAATGGCTCAAAACAAAGTATATTTTCAACTGCAACGGGTATAATAAACTCATAATCTAATCAAACATTTAATTGCTTTATTTAATAAGAAAAAATAATTATATTTTAGATGACACATTTTTAATACGAGATGTTTTTTCTGCGCATGATATGGAACGTGATAATAAATCACTTACATCAGATATCAGTGGAAGCAATGGATTTTCAATTTGGGACAAGGTATTTTATTAAATTAATCATTTTTTGCTTTATTTATATTGCATTATGGATTTATATTATAGGATGATCAATTTGATAGTTCAACAATATCTTGCAATCTTACATCGAGCCCTTCACTAGATCTGATGGATGCAATGCAAATTATATTTGAACTCAGCTCAGATTGTAATTTAGTATTGCAGGGTCGCATTGGGCAGGTAATATAAAGTTTAATATTTCCATAATAACTCAAGAGTTTTTTTATCAACTTAATCTATTTAGGGTTTTTATGGAGAAGTGTATAGAGGAAACTTGGAAAGGGATAAAGATACTGAACCACAGTTAGTTGCTGTAAAGAAATTGAAAACTAATGCTCTAAATTCATGTTTACAAGATTTTGAAAGAGAAATTGCAATTATGAAGGTACTATTATTGTTCTAATTTTATATCTGTTATTCTTACATTATCTTTAAATAAATTATATAAATCTTTGCAATTTTCTACAGACTTTAAAACATCCAAATATTGTTGAGATCCTATGTGTATTTGATGAACCTGAAATATCATTAGTAATGGAGTATGTTGCCAATGGTTCATTACAAAGTTATTTAAAAATACATCGTGATAAAATCAAACAACCACAGTTATTGAAGTATGCTCTAGACATCGCTGAGGGAATGGAATATCTTGGAAAAAAGCACATAGTACATCGAGATTTAGCTGCTCGAAATATATTGGTAGCTAATGAAAATTTAGTGAAAATATCAGATTTTGGATTAGCACAAGTTACTGGAGGCAAAGAAGATTACTATATTCTGAAAACGAATAGAGATCTCCCAATAAAATGGTATTTGTAAATTTTTAATATATTTTTTAAGTTAGTATTGGTTAAATTTTATTTAGTAGTATGGTAACTCCATAAAACTACATAACTTTTGTAAATAGGTGACTCAAAAATATATGTCAATAGATAAATCAAAGTTATTTATTTTGGTTTGTTACCTGATTGATAATCTATAAAATATACTTATTAATTTATGGTTGGAATAATTTAATTAATGTCTTTGGTTCTAGACTATTTATATTTCTTTTCTTATAGAAAATTCTTAATGAATAGTGATTGACAATTATCAAAATAATATTTATTTTTCAATATTATAATTGAACAATTATAATTGTTTATTTACATTATTTTATTATATAGTTAATGAGATTAATAAACCCATTACTCAATGTATTAAATCATATTTGAAATTTTAAAGAGGGACAGTTTCTTAATTTGGTTTTTGTTTTTAACCACTTATTTTACATTTGTTAATTGTTATTCTAGGTATGCTCCAGAAAGTTTGTGTGATGGTAAATTTTCATCCCGATCTGATGTGTGGTCCTATGGTATTACAATGTTCGAAATGTTTTCTTATGGGGAGGATCCGGTTCTGCCAAGTATGTCGACAGTTGCAGCTTTGTCATCATCTGGATTCAATAATTCAAATTCTCAACTTCTTGGAGAAGTTGACAGTGTTAATACTGAACCACCACAACACACCATGTTCAAAATTTTAAAAAGTGGAGAAAGGTTTGTTATTTTATTAAATTATTTGATATAAAAATATGCAAGCACTAATTCATCTGATTAGTTTTGCATTATGAGTCATAAAAATAATTCATAATTTGTTAATAAAAACTTTCTACATTTTTATGGATTATTTTACTTCATATTTATCAAGGGTCTGGAAGCTATCTCACAATTGATCATGTTACTAATACTTAACCTTTGAAAATAATATAATTCTAAATGAATATTTTACATTTTGAATTTATTTTTGGATAGATTTCGATATAGGTTTGACACTTGTATGAACTCAGTTTAATATATGACTACGAGATAATTTGTCCTAATTTATCAAAATTAACATCATGGCGTTTTTACATATTTTTTTTAATTTGTCAAGTAACAATTTAATTTGTGGCATTTATTCATTAATATTGTTTAATGTTTTCAGACTGAAATGTCCCAAAAGGTGTTCTAATGAGATTTATTTAGAATTAATGCATTCTTGTTGGAAATTTTCACCTTCAGAGAGACGAACTTTTTCTGAATTAACTGTTGTTTCTAGTGAATTATTAAGAAGATCTAAAAATGAATTAGGAGACTTTTTAGGTTAATATACTAAACCTGGGATAGCCTTACAATATACTCAACTACACAATTAGAATTAAATTGGATTAAGTAGTAATATTCTCTAAATTTTATTAGTTTGATTTATATAATCAATATTATGAATTCTCCACATTAAATTTTTAACATTTTGTTTCATTTTGTTAAAAATTTATTTTCTGTTAATTAATTGTAAAATGTAAAAAGATCTGAATTTTAGTATATAATTTATTTTTTATCTGTGAAGATTTTTATACTTATTGTCTCTATTCATATATATTTTTATAATACAATTTTATTTTTATATATATATATATATATATATATATATATTACGCATATGTAACAGTTAATTTTTTAAATGTATATTCCGAATATTCTGGATATAATCTTACCAAATTCAAAATTCTGAAATCTCATAATTTTATTAAGATTATGTGCAATTACGTACAAAGAGAAATATAATTTTATATGGATTTTATTTAATAATTGTTTATACATTCTGTGAATGTAATTGTAAATATAAATTATACAAATAAGTGGATAATTTTTTTAAATAACGTTTTTTACAAATAATGGATTTATCATTTTGTAAATATTTGAATGATTTTAATAGATATTTTATGATGTTAATTGACAAATTTATGTATGTATATATATATATATATATATATATATATTTATTATTATATATTTGCATATATTTACATAAGTAGCCCACCGATATCTATGTATATATAATTACTTACAATCTGTATGCTGTATATAATATTATAGTAGTTAGTAAGTAAAATGGTTTTATAAAAAATTGTGTTTAGTTATATATTTGTGAAAATAAATTTGTATTTGCGATGATAGAGCAAAACGAAATTCTTATGCATATAGTCCCACTCAATTGGTGCCTTTTATATTATTTAGATATTTAACTTATGTTTTAAATAAGTATAATACATATTTTAAAGTAGTTTTAATAGATCATTAGGTCATGATGATATAATATAATGTTTATGATGGACTATGTGTTTTAATATTGTATATTAGAAAAATCATTCATATGTGTCACTTAGTTATCACTTTTAGTGTGTCGTACAGTGTATACTCATAGGATGAATGAAACCACAAAAAATGATAAAATTATGCTTGCAAGATAGCTAATCTAGTAAATCCGCAATGGTTTGATAAATGTAACCACACCATCCATTATCAATAAAAATCTAAATCCTCAAAACAAATATTGAAGAGTATATAAATATCAAAATTTTGTGAGAGAATCATTTGATATTTGACGATTGACAAGGTAAGTGATAATTTTATTATATTGCAATATTTTTTAAAGAAAATATTTTCTTAATGGTATACTGAATCATATCTAATTTTCTTCAGTATATCATTAAAAATATTTAGCAATTATTTTACTCTTTCATTTTTTAATGAGTAAATGTTAAATATTAGATGCAGTATGGTCTGGACTATATGTTTTAATAAACTTCTTATCGGAATCATAAAAATTATATTGGTGTTATTGAAATGTAGAGTAAAATGATTTAAAGAATCTATTCAACACTATATTAGTGCCATACATAATTTACCAATATATATAATATACAAAAAGTGTCAATAAAAATGTGGATTTTTTATAGATAATTTATATAATCAATAGAAATATTCACCATTTATGTTACTCCAATATTCATCATTTTTGCAATCTTCTCTTCAGAAGATTTATTTATACTAATGATAAAATTATAATTATATAAAAAAAAAAAAAACTAATAATAACAATAACTATTATTATTTATTATCTGTATAGTTCTATTCATAGATAAGTAAACATTCTATTCTATTCTATCTATTTATTTAAATAACATCAGATCGTATTAAATTCGAAAAGTATTAATATTAATACTTTTTCGAATTTAATACAATCTGTTCTTTAAATAAATAGAACTATACATATAATAAATAATAATAGTTATTGTTATTATTAGTTTTCTTAAATTTTATTTTTTAAATTTTTATTTTTTTAAATTTTGTTTACTCAGTTTGCCAACATATAAATAATATACAAACACACATACATAATGAAGTTAACAGTCAAATAAACAAAACTTCAAATTAACTGAAAGTTGTAAAAAATAATAAAAATAACTATAATAATATAAAAATATTTGATACCGCTGCATAAATAATCGACATTCAATTTTTATAATAATAATTAATAATGAATAATAATAATGAATAATTCGTTTACCAGATGCCATTTTAATATTATGTGCAAATGTGTGTAAATGATGAATAGACGCCATGATACATACACATACTCGTATATAAACTTTATGTATTATGTATCAAACCAAATTAAGGTTATGTTTTGTGTTTTCAAATGCTGCTGTTTATAAAAATTATAAATAATGTTAATGTGCAATTTGAAATTATTAGTGATGTTGGATTTTCGATAACCAACAAAAAATGGAACAATCTAGAACCGCAGAGTGGTATGTTACATGCTTTATTACGATACTTAATTATTCTAATTGTCAAAACCGGTTTAGTAGAGGTTATATGTGTTATGTATATATTTTCAAGACTTTCTTTCAATTTATATTTATTTAAAGTTAGCATATAAAAATAAATCATATCATGCGACGCATTTTCAATTTACCTTTATTTGCAAAATTATTGTTTGGTAACGAATTTTCCATTGCCGTTTACAAAATTGTTTACAAAAAACGTTTGTAATAACATTTGCGCCATTATTATGTAAATATAATGTATGAACTAGTCTTGAATATGTGTATGTTTTATGTTAATATTATACGTAACAAAGACATGATTCATTATTGTACTATGAAAATCGTTGCAAAATAATATATCGTTGTATTAGTACGTATATGTTGACTTTAAAAATCATAAGTGAGTTATTCCCCATCACGCCCGCACATAAACAAAATATTCTGCATCGTATCAGATCTTTATTAATTTCAATAACTGTGTTAAAAATAGTTTTAAGTTACAGTTAAATTTATTTATATTTGGTTAAGTGTATCTAATCAAATACCGGCAATTTTAAATACAAAGTGTCTAATAATAGGATAGGATTCATAAAGTATTGTAAGTTTATGACTCATATTTTTAATTACATTTTCATGAATAATAGATTATAGAAATATCTTGAGCCTATTGTTTTAGGTACGTTTTACATTGATACCATACTCTATTTTTAATGTATTTTAGTGTAATTAATTGGCATTTCAGTATCTGAAACTTTTATTAACTTTTTAAATATAATATTTGGTATTAATAATATTTGGCCGCAGTTGAAGGAGCGAACTTAATCTTTGCAATGGTAGCTTCATTTGCATGCAAACCATTTTCAAAATTGTATGTTTAAATTGTGAAAATATTTCTATTATCAATTATTAACAAAGTCGCGAAATATATAACATATATTCTTTTAATCGTTATATATATATTACCAAACTACACTAACAATGAGATCAAATATTCCTACTTATTATTTATCATTTCAATTTTTAATTGAATTGTGGCAATATAAATTTCACAAGGATAAGAAATTTCTAAATGTTACAGTTTTATGTAAAATATTATGTTATTTACAGTAAATTTATGAATAAGATGGCATCGTGCCCAATCGTGCCTTAAGGCAATTTGCTGGAACTTCCCGTACCGTAACGAAATGATCGAGTAGTATTAAATGTTTTCAAATAGATAATTATAAATAAATACTGTAACATTGTCTAATATTTATAAGAATTATATAATCTGAATTGCAAAGTTAAAAATATTTATTTGAAGTATATAAGTGAGCTTTAGAACTTTAGCCAGAATTAAAATTAAAATCTGAATTATTTTAGATATACAAAAAAAAATAATTTCAAAATATTTTTTTTCCAAAAGCATTTGTTTCGTCAACACAAGCAAATTTTCAAATCGGATGCTTAGTTTTTTTCACATTTAGCACCTTATCTCCGTAACGATGTGACTAGTTTTTGCCTTTGCCAAAAACTTGTCAGTACATCTACCTATCAATAGAAATCGAATGCTTTTTGAACCATTCAAATTAGTTGATCCGTGTGCCCGAAAACGTGGACGATAAATCCATATATGTGTATCCATACATACACACACATCTTTTTCTAAGGTATGCCAAAATGTTCAGAAAACTCTTGAACGTGAAGATATGCAAAAATTTTCATTTTCGATTTTTTGCCCATTACTATAACTTACCCCACGGGAATTTAAAAATATTGAGAATAAATATAGAATAACAAAAGAACCTCTTAATATGTTTTTTCTTGATCTGGAACCAAATAGAAATAACAAAAATTTATAATATTTACAAATTATTCAATTGCATAATACGCGTCGAACCTCCAAGAAAGTCTAACAACATAATACAATGCACTAGCTGTCAACTCTTTAATCACACCAAAAAATACTGCAATAGAAATATGTTTGTCCTATAATTCCGGTTTAAAATGATGTTGATATTTTTTTTCAAAAGATGATGGTCAATAATATAGTAGTACTATATTATTGCATTATTTTTAAACTTATTGTGGAAGAAGGAAAATCTCACTACTAAATATTTCTCAAAAATATGTTAAATAGCTAATTTAATGTTTTTTCGGTCTCTTGAGTCATTCTAGATCGTTTGGAACCAAAATTGGAAAAAGCATGTTTCAAATTTTGACTTTTCGTCAACGTTTTCTAAACCGATTTTAAACATTTGAAGTCTCTCTATGGAACTCGATAAGAATCGTAAGGATTCGCGTTGACTATTTTTGCTCGGCCATCGGCCAAACTTTTTCTTAATAATTTGCAGGAATATTTCAATTTTTCATCCAAGGTTAGCAAAAAATTTTGAAACAATTTTGAAAAATTAAAAAACGTTCGAAAGTCAGCAGTTAGCCTTTTCTTTGTTCATTTCATTTCTTCGTTAATTTTTTTGTTTTATGATGACAAAGTTCTTGAATTTTACGAACATCCTAAAATATTTTGAGCCTACAAAAAAGGTTTAATTATAAGAATTAATTAAAGTTTGTAATAATGTGTTGGAACAAAATTTCAAACTTCTATCGTGCCATT